GAAGGTAATAATAAAATGTTTACATAGACGATTATTAAAAATAATTCACCTTTGCTACGGGTTAGGCTTCACGTCCGCCTGGACAAATGCATTCTTGCATACTACTAAATCAGTCTGACAGCCAATGTCTTGGGTAGATTTAGCCTGAAAAAAAAAATAGAAGCACATTGTTGTTGGAGTTTATAAAGTCAGATAATATACAAAAGAAACTGTCAGATATAGGCGCTTTATAACATTCCTAGTGTGTGATCGTTATTATAACGTAAAAGTCAGTCACATATGATGTGGAGAGCCTGAAATGTGACCTCCTGAACAGAATTCCTTACAGAACCGGGTCACGCTGTAATGATGTCTGTCAACTAGTGCTGCGTTAGTTAGAGTCACTGTTGCAGAATCGACTGGCACAAAAACAACCCAACTTTTCTCCAAGCCTGACAGTAATAGTCATGTGGACCGTTTCGTCGGCCAGGGCTTCGAGATATGTTCCGATTCGCCGCTGATTCTAACTTTACATCCCGTTCCACATTTTGTGAACTTGACAAATTAGCCCGAAGGCAGTGCAGACTGATATTAGCTAAATTAAGTGAACCACATCTCTCAAACTTTGCATTTAGGTAGGGAATTGAGCTGCAGTATTTCTGCGGTCAGGTCTCTCTACGAGTCTGAGAGCTCCACAAGCGGTCAGCCCACGCAGCAGCTAGTACGCGCCGCATCGGTCAGACATGCACCGGGCTGACCGCTGGGGAGAACTGGGTGGAAGAATGGAACACAGAAGTGTCTCTCCAAGAGCTCCGTCATATTTCAACCCATTTTTATGTTAAATGCACTGGGTTTTACCCTTTTACCCATCGACATATGCCCTATTAATTATTTTACCGTATTTTACATCTAAATTTCATGGTTAAACAGTACATGCTACATGTTAAAATGATAGTTAGCTAGCTACTTCGATAAACTCAGCTAGTTTAAAGGCGCCAGTGACCTAAAATACATAAATATAATTTAACTTACCAAAAAATATGAAGTGGAGACTCCTTGGACACTCTATTAATGCAATTAATGCCACAGCAAGTCATTTTGTCCAACAATTGCACAAATAATATCCAAAACAATACACAAACACAGAGACTCAGTTTCCAGGCCAGACCGAGGCTCTGCTGAGGCCTTTCCATGGAGCTAGCTCTGTGGTCACGTGGGTCTGAGGCGGCAGTCATGTGGGTCTGATGCTCATTAATTATACAGAATTTTAGGCTTTTAATACACTTAAACAGAAGAGTGAGGAAAAAAATCACCCCCCTCAGAGTTGTCATGAGTGTAAACTAGATAATTTAAACAAAAAACATGTTTTGGTACCAGGCTGTAAACATGTTTATTTCTGCTGTGAAATTGGTATTTTTAACATGGGAGTCAATGAGGATTTGCTCGCTTCTGACACCAGCCCCCAGTGGATGAGGGTGGAACTGCAATTTTTGGTACTTCCGGGTTGAGACCAATTTCTGAGACGCATTGTGGGGGCTTGAGAAAAACTGTCAATAATATAGATATTCGGCCATATTCTGATTCAGGTTTTTAGTGTGGAGTGATTTTTGTGCCACCAACTGGAGCGTGCAGTGATCAGTCTGCAAGAGCACAACCTGCTCTGCAGTTGTGTGCAGCCCTCTCTCTGCTTGCTCAACTCCGTCTTTGCCTGCGCAGATCTCTCCCTGCTGTTGCTCAACTTGCAATTTGCAAAGCAATGTAGCCTCTACGTCAGCCAATCAATCAAAGCATGTCCAGGAAATACTGCCAGGAAAACTACACTTTTTTCAGATAAAGAGGACTTTATATAATTATATTTAATTAGGTTGATTAACCCTTCTCTTTTCCTGGGACATTTCCACTGTTCACTTCTTTTTACACATCAAGGGATTATTTATGTCTAACCAAACAGAGAAGAAACACTTCATATATTGAAATTAAAAGTCCTCTTTAACTGAAAACAGTGCAATTTAACAGTTTTAGGAATGGACAATGTGTCTTTTCTGGAAGTCAAACTATGGTCACCCTAATCATGACACATGAATTGCAACAAAGTATTTTGCAGGCAGTGGATGGTGACTGGTAGCTAACCAGCAGCAGAAAGCAGTTCAATAAGGTGTTAAATGGGTGTTTTTCTGTAAAGCAGTATTTCCTGGACATGCTTTGATTGGATAAAAGAGAGCTGTATGTGATTGACTGGTGGAGAGGCTACTTGTTGAGGAGAGCAGGGAGAGATTTGCATGCGCAGAGACAAAGTTGAGCCTACAGAGAGGGCTGCAGCTCCTGCACACAAGCGCAGAGCAGGTTCTGTTTGTGCAGACTCATTACTGTACGCTCAAGTTGGTGGCACTAAGTCACTCAGTGAAGTGGCTGGCTCGTTAATCATGTAACTTCAGGGGAGTTTTCTGATCATTTTACTTGACATCAAAGCTTTTCATTATGGTTTGCGGCCTGTAAACATGCTAGCGGAGTTAGCATTAGCATGTCGGAGCAGTAGCATTTCCTCTCTCTAAAGTATAACCTTGAAATGTTAACGGTGTGCTGCTGTTGCTGTCTTACCCTAATGTGATGTTGAGTGACTTACATGAGCGCTGATCAGGGTTTGCTCATCGACATATAGGCCTAGGTTTTGCTGTATCGCCCCTGCCCCTGACTTGTCAGCATAGCAGTCAGGGTTAAGGAAGTGGAGGAAGTCCATTCTTGATACTTCCTGTGTGCGACGGTGTAGTTCTATATTTATTAATTATTATTTCTATTTCAGACTAAAAAACTCCTGTACCCACTACACGTGTCGTGATTGTGTTGAGCATGTAGATGTGAACAAATAAAAAAAAGTTAACTGAAAAAAAAAGAAGTAAAAAACCCCAAATGATAGGGGGCTTGTGAATATTTTAGGTCCCCTAAAATGGACCTAACGACATCAGCGAGAGACATAATCTCTCCAGCGTGTCCGGGGTCTTCCATTAGGTCTCCTCCCACTTGGACGCGCCCAGAAAACCTCACCAGGGAGGCATCTATGAGGCATCCTGACCAGATGCCTGAGCCACCTCGTCTGGGTCCTCTCGATGTGGAGGAGCAGCATGTCTACTCATTTTCCTTATTCCAAAATATCTCTTTGTTGCAAAATACCATTACTACTTAAAATGTATTATCCGTCTGCATTAATACCCATCATGCATCTATAATGTAAGAAATCAGTTACATTTCCTGTGTTGATCAGACCATGTAAAGCAGATCTGACTCTCAGTCATCTATATCAACTATTCAAAATGTTGTTTATAAGTGTTAACTTTTATATTTGCATCTAAACCTTTGTTTCTGGTCACATTTCTTTACCAAGAAGTAGAGTCATGTTGAATTATTTTGTTTTGGTTTCAGGTTCATAAACCTCAGAAATCTTCATGTAACACTTTTTAAATCAAGTGACAGAAATGAGCCCATGTTTATATAAAAAACGGTTTAGGGTGTTTAAGACTCTCCAACCGACCGAAACAACGCAGCAGGGCTTAAACACACACAGGACATTCACCTTTCACTTTAGGAGTTCATTAGAATGTGCTTGGTGCTTTGAAGTTCAAGTACAAATAACGTGTGTTGTGTTGCACAAAGCCATCACACTTCAGTTTAATTAGCTGGTGAAGATTGTTGTGACTGTTCTGCTGCTTTCAGGGTCCGTGGGAAATGTCCCGTCTCTTTACCCAGTGGCCTGTGGTGCCGTAGCTGGGAAACAAAGGTTCTGCCCGTTTAGGAGCCAAACAAATCCCTAAAACCAGAAGACTAGAAAGACGATCAGCAACCGGAGGAGGTAGTCTAACATGATAATCTCTGCTTCTGCTTTTGTGGATTATAATTTCTGGAACTTTGTGGCACAAATGGCATTTTTTCTTTAGTCTTATTTGGTCCACATATCACCCATGAATGACATTTTAATGAAGTAGTCAATAAGAAGGATACTTCATACACCTGCTGTAGTTAAAGCGCGAAGATCAGTTGTTCTTCAGTTTCTGCTGCATCTGGACAAGGACCAGGGCTTGAACTTGTTTAGGGACCAATGAAATCTCAAGGCTGGAGTAAAATGTTCTTCCCAGTGTCAGAAAGCTCAGGCCTGGTTCACATCCTTCCATTCTGACAACCTTAAGGATGCCTGGTCAACATAACAGCACTAAAGATGATCTTATCAGATATTCCTGCCATGTGGGGTGTGTTAAAAGCACTCTGGACTCCACCTTAGTCTCACTCACAGGCCTAATGAATAATGACCCCAAACACATTTAAGACATTTAGATTGCATCAAAACAAAACACAGTACGGCTTTCAGTGATCTTAATCCTGGTAAACATCTGTTGAAGGAGCTGTAACATCTGGAAGATGAACCTTTCAGACATGAGACAGCTGGAGCAGATTGATCTTGAATGAACCAGAATATCTGTGGACAGGTGCAGAATCTCACTGAGTCACAGAAATCTCTTGGTTTTTGTGATTGTTTTTTTTTTTCGATAAAAAGGGGTACCAACTGTTTTACAACTCACTGCCAGATTTAACTTTGTTCATCAGATTTAGACTTGCCCAGGTCACTTTACTGTTCTGATACCAACATAGCCTGGAAGATGCATTTCATTTGATGCAGCACATAAATAATATAGAGATAAATGGGAGCTGCTGATTTTTGTTATAACTATTGTCTATATTAGAAGTTTAAAAATAAATAAACACAATGAGAATGAGTAGAAATGGATTGTGGGATGTATGCATCACCGGCACTGTGGAGAGAGAAGTGTGGTAGAGCTGAGCATACATCACACTCAAACCTGATTACATAAAAGCACACAAGTGCTCTAAAGAGACACTCGTAACAAAGGACTTGTTGCACAGAACCGGCTCTTGACAAATCTAGTTAACATAAAGTGTGGACATTGTCCAGAGGCAAAATACAAAATATGCAGATTAGGCATCTGCAGTACGTGTATCAAATTAAATGTCCATCATTTTTAAGTTGTACTTTATTTCTCAACCTAAACCAAAATGGCTGATATAAAAATGCCCAGGGCTGTTTTTAAATGTTACACTGAAAATCTTCCCGTATTTTTTTGCAGCCTGGTGCTGCAGAACCACACTTGTACATCAAAACACACATTTAAAGAATATTCACACATTTCTGTGACATTTCCGTATATAAATAACAGAAAACCTAAGTGCTAAAGACAGGGGTCATGTTTCATGCAAACACTAGTTTTCGAAGCAATCGAACAAAAACGTCAAAGCTTTTTTAGGAGATACTGAGCATGCTATCATCATCTTCTTTCATGTTTAACCTGTTTGGTGTTTGCCCACTGAGTTCCTCCTGCTCAGTGACCGGTTCGTTGCTCCCGTGAGACGAATTCTTCATCACGCTGTAGTAAATTGGAGCATTGTACTCGGCCTCCCTGTGCTGCCTGTTGCACCTACAGAGCTTCTTGAATGCAACGCGAAACTTCTGGGACATGAGGTTGTAAATGATGGGGTTAATGGCACTGTTGGTGTAGATGCACATGCGGCAGAAGAGCAGGAACCAGGTGTTGTGGTAAGGCGGGTCGATGAAGGAGTTGACCACCACCAGTGTTCGGTAAGGCATCCACAGCAGAGCAAACAGGATGACCACCACAGCTAGCATCTTAGTTATCTGTTGAGGCAGAGGGGGGTGGGGTGGGAAAGAAAATGCTTTCATCTCACAGAGTACTTCTTAAAGGTCAATAAAGGACAAGGCAATGCAAAAGCTGAATGTTAACATCATCAAAACACCTCAGCCTCAGGTACCAGACAGGAGATGAGGGAGAATCAGGTATCAGATTAGCTGTTTTCTAATATTATTATTACAGATGCACATGCATGTTCAGATTTTTGATACTTCTTGTTTTATTTGTCTGAACTAATGTAATTTTTAAATTCCTGTCTTGTTCCGGTTTGTTGTTTTTCTTTTCCCTCTGATTTCCTCTGATTCTGTCTTGGACCCTCGATAATGATTTTGGGATTGGCTAACCGCGTCTTAACCCTGTGTTAAACAACCCTGCCCCGTTTCAGACCCCTCCTCTGCCATACAACAGCAGCAGGGTTGATGGCATTCTGTTTTAAATTCAGACGTTCTCCAGTACCTGTTTTCTAGTGGTGACCGTTCCCTTGCTGGACTTGTTGGTGCTGTGGGAGAGACCCTGGTGGACTGATACTCCTCCTGCTCGGTCCATCAGCTGCGACGGCAGAGGACTCATGAACAGAATCTTTCCAATGAGCCCGTACAGCACGGTGGCCACAATCAGAGGGATCACATAAAAAAGAGTGAAGTCCAGGAAGTAGATCGGCATATACAGGCTCCTGGAGACGCGGTACCCACAGGTGACGACCACCCCGTTGGTGTAGACGGTCTCATCAGTGTCTACCAAGAAGAACCACATGGTGCAGTAGAGAGAGGTGAAGATCCAGACTGCTGCTATGATCCTTTTGGCCCGTGACACGGTGCATAAGAACTGGGCTTTAATGGAGTGACAGATAGCAATGTACCGCTCAATGGTGAATGCCGTGATGGAGCAGGAGGACACGTTGATGCCCAGGTACTGAAGGTAGGTAATGCACAGACATCCTGTGTAGCCATAAATCCAGAAGGCGATGACATCAGAGATGTTAGGCAGACCTGCAGCCAGGAGCACGATGAGGTCAGCGACTGCCAAACTGACCAGGTAGCAGTTGGTCGGTGTCACCATGTGTTTGGTACGCAGAACAACAAGCACAACCATAACGTTCCCTGCAATCCCAACACCGCATATGAGCATCGTCAAAAATATTGTTACAACTTGTTCTTCAAGAGGGTTCAGAGGCATTTCTGTCAGATTCACGACGCGAGCCACGTCCTGAAAGACAGTCGTGTTGTTCTCCATCATTCTCAAGTCCAGCACGCACAGTTCAGTCAGGTTTTAAAAATGAGAATCCTCAAGACAGAAACAAAAGAACAGTTAGAGTCAAAATGTTTCAAAAACCCTGTGAAAATAAAATCAAGACGATCATTTTTATTCATGCATCTGGTTATCACAGCAGCCAGCCTGGTGATGAAATGATGCAATGCATTTTCTGCTCATTAACTCAGTTCATTTAAAGGTGCTTAAGTGCAACAAGATGATCTGTAATTAAAGCAGGTGACGCGTTTCTGAGGGTTTTACTCTTGAATCTGTAAATTGAATTAATTAAACTGTTAATCTGGCTAAATGAAGCTGACATTTGGTCTTTAAACATTTTTATGACATTTATTCTGTGCTGATTTTCTGCTTTTTCTTTGTTCTTTCTGCAGAACTCTATCTTTTCTCACTGATGATTTAATTGACGCTAGTTAACAGCTGCTCATTTTCTCTTTGTGACCAGATCTTTCTGTTTGCTGCCCATCTCTGACTGCGTCAGTTCTGTGCAACGACGTGTCACAAAATATTGATGGCCATTTTCCAGAATGAAATGCACCGTGACGTTGTTGCAATGTTCTCCGTGTGCATATTCATGCTGCTGATGCCTCAGAGGCCACTGGAGGGCTGATTGGAGCGGGCTCATCCTGCTCCTCATGGTGGTTCTGCTTTTGGACTCCTGTAGGATCCCACTGATCTGGTTCTGGAGGTGGAACACTGTATTTATTTTATTCCTCATTGTGACTTAAAGTGGTCAGAGTAGTAAATCACGGGGAGAAAACCCTCCTGCTGAAGCAGCTTACATCAAAATCAACACCGTAAGACATCAAGTCATCTCTGACATTTTTATATGATTTTTACTTTTATCCATAACCTCCAATAGCCTCCTCCTCCTGACCTCTTGCTGTTCCCATCTTCTAATCACCATTACACCTATAGAAAGTTAATAAGCTTGAATGTAAACATGTTCTCCAGCAGAATGATTAAATTAGGCTGTAAAACCATCATTTACATCACAAATTTGCTTAAAAGAACAAATAAAACATTTGAAACAATTGGGCCATTAAACTAAATCTATACCACCAGTGCAGATGTCTGAACGTGACTATTTCCGTGGTTTTCTCAGACTAACTTGTTGGTTTTATCAGAGTCTACACTTGTTAGGGAAATTTAGGATCTGCATCAGCTGTTTAAAATTATTTTTGACTTAAAATCCACATTAAAGGCATCATCTACAAAAATTCTGTTCCTTTAAAAATGTTTACATGAGAAACTTCTACTCTAAGATGAATGAAGGCTTCCTGGTTTTTCTCCAGTATAAGCATGAAGACGTTCAGGAATAAAACCAAAGCGAGTGAACAGGAAGGGTCAGCTCACCATCAGACGCAGCTCTCCTTCAGACACGACGGCAGGTGTGTGTTCAACCAACACACACTGATGACTGCTCTGCTCTCCTCCGGAGTCGCTCCACTTCTGCTTCTCTCTCTCCCTCGCACTCTCCCTCATCATCCCTCCCTTCCCATTCCACTCACCATTATAGCCACATTTTTACAGGCTTCGTCCTAAAATCAATTCCACCTCCCCATCCTAAAGACTGTTTCCTCACTGAGAGAAAAGAGGAAGCACAGCTTCCATTTTAACAACCTCAGAAATCGGCTTTTAAATCAGAACAGAACAAATTAACTGTAATTTATGAAGCATGTCTTTGTTTGGTCCCCAGGAGACATGCATTAGTTGGTGCTTCCTTTTTGGTTAGAAGCAAAATTACTTTAATTTAGTGGTTTGACTTTGAAGATTCCTTCTTTTGTGAGACAAACTTGAGTTTTTTCGGCTAGCATTGTTGCCACTGCCTGAGACAAACATCAGTGGTGGACCTGGAGATTTTCTTTTGGGTTCCTAAGGCGTGGCAAGATTCTCCTGCTGGGTGCAGCATTTAATTTTAGCCTTCAATCAATGCATTTGTATTACTTGTCAAAACATAATAATATTTCACTAAATGCAGTTAAAGCTGCAAATCTGCAAAACAAGCAGGTTTTTAAACCGACACGATCACAGAACTCTCACCCCTGCTGTCCTCCCTGGGCCACGTCTACCGAATATTGGAACACAGTGGAAACGAGAGAGCACAAAACACCAGTGGTGTCATGTTGGGTTGTAGTTTTATGACCCACGACACGCAGAATCACGCACAAAGGCAGAAGGTGAGTAAAAAGGTTTATTTTTGTTCGGTGGAGGTGTAGATGAAGGTCGGAGTTCGGGTGATTCCGGTGGAGTCCTAAAGCAGAGACAGGAGTGAGTAGTTGCAGATCAGCAGCTTAAAGAGTTATGAGATTCAGCTTACGGTTTCCAGGTTGTTGGAGAAGGCTTTGAGAGGAGGGTAAGTCAAGGCTGGCTGAGCTGGTCGAGTGAGAGTCAGAAGTAATGGCTGGGAGCTGAGCACCGGAGTCCGAGGTGTCCAGGTTGGCAGGTGGGGGTTGGAGAGCAGGCGGTCAGGGGCGAGCGACGGGGCTGGCAGGCAGGGTTTGAATCCGATGAGTCTATTTCTAGATGATGGAGGCTGGCTGGTGGACGAGAAGTTCCTGAGGAGGTCAGAGGAAACAGGGCAGTTAAGTTCAGGGAAGCGAGGTACACAGGCGATAAAAAACCCAACTAGAGACAGGCAAGGATCTGGCGAGAATACTACCCAATACTGAGTAATCATCCGGCACTGATGAGTTGTCCCGACGCTCCTTAAATCCCCTGACCACTGATGTGCAGATCGACAGCAGCTGCTCTCCGGAAACACCCACCTGCACACAGAAAGACTCAGCACAACACGGGTTAACTCAGCACAGACCATGACAAGTGGTTGCTTTCTAGCTCCAAATATCTTTTGTTGTACACAACTTTAAAGTATGTTTTTCTGTTTGGGACTCTGTTTGTCCTAAAGTTGAAGTGGTAGCAGCCGGCTGTTTCTCCTTCTCTGATATTATTGAGTGGAGAACCTCTCACAGCAGTGGTGTTCTGTTGGTAAATGCACAAGCACATAATCGGTGGAGGACACAGGTACATCTGGAAGTGTGGTGGTTTGGTGAGACAGACAACTGGATTACCCAATCCATGGTTTCGGACCGAGCCGTGTTCTTAGGTGATGTTTTTAGATAAATGCCAGAAAACCACTTCATTTTTTTAGCTCCACTAAATATTTATAGCAATATTAATGTTAGATTATTGTTAAGCTAGCTTGTTCTGCAGATTTGCTATTGTAGCATTAATATGGTAAATAGAGCCCAAAGCCAAGAACAATGTGACTTTTCAGGGTTTCCTTGAGTGCCTTTCTATGATTTAGTTTGACTCAACCCTGAAAAAAACAAAGTTTTGATGAAGCTGAGCACATGAAACATGCTACATTTCAAACAGTTAATTTGAGGAGTTTAAACATTAGACTATATTAAATCCCCGAATGAATGCATCTCCCAGCTCTGCTTTTACTGGTTAATGTCTCCCCTCCCAATATGGTGGATCAGTCGGTGTATTTATGGGCTGAGGCAGTCTAAGTAGTTATGTCTGTGCTTTAAACAATATGTGCTTGTGACAGTTCCCAGTCTGTGGGCAAAATGTACAACATGAGATGGCTCCTTTTATCATCCACAGCATCAGCATCTTCTGTCCTAAATATTCTAAAAACGAAAGAGGGTTAATCTTTGGTTTTTCCTTTTTTTTCATCAGCAAAAACAATTAATTTGTTATGCATAACTCCAGCAGAGCCATCTCCACCCTGAGGTTCAAAGTGAGCAGAAAGGATGAGAGGACCCTTCTCTGTGGTTGTGCTAACTCACCACTATCCTACCTTCAGAGCTGGTCAGAATATTGGTGAGCATCACTTTGACCCATAAATTCATTCACTCTAGTGGGAAACATTTTGTAAGTAGACAAACTGTCCCAGATGCACGTGTCTGACCCCATCTGCAGGTGGATCACTGACTTCCTGATGGACAGGAAGCAGCAAGTCTGACACATATCACTTCCTGGGCACCACCATCACCCAGGACCTCAAGTGGGAGCCCACCGCCACCTTTATCATAAAAAGGCAGCAGAAAAATTCAACCTGCCAACACTGTCGATGAGGCAGTTCTACATTGCAATCATTGAGTCCATCCTCACCTCTTCAGTCACCGTGTGGTACGCTGGAGCTACCACCAAGAACAAGAAGAAGCTGCAGCGTGTTGTGTGCGCTGCTGAGAAGGTCATTGGACATTGGGACATGCAGGTCAGATAACAGCTGACTCGTCTCACCCTGGACACAGTCTCTTTGACTCGCTCCCGTCTGGCAGGAGGCTCCAATCCATTCGGACCAGAATCTCTCGCCACAAACACAGTTTCTTCCTCTCTGTGGTTGGAATGCCAATCGTAGGACTGGTCACCCTATTTGTTTCAGTCACGTGACCCTGTGCTGTGTTTGCACCTGAACTGATCTGCTCTGACCGGTACTTCTCTAATTATTGGCTCCCTATAATATTACTATGGCAAGGTGGAGAAACAAGAGCCCGGGCAGGATTGGATTCCCAGACTCCCGGGTGAGAGTCAAGCGCACTAACCAGTCAGCAAAAGGGATATCCCCACGGCCAAGTAGCCCGGGCGCATGATCCATCAGGATACAGTGATAGGACGCTCACCCTGTCACATAATTACAATATATTTTATTTAATTCAAATTTTTGCTTATCATTTGTAATTTCTTGCACCAAGTACCACAGCAATTTCCTAATGTGACTTCTCACACCTATGGCAATAAAACCCTTCTGATTCTGTTGAACTGGTTTGAGCTGTAGTTGAACTGGTGGACTAAAACACACAACTAGTTGGATTTCTCATCTGGTGAATGTGACTGTAGTAGAAAGGAACTAAAGAGCATAAAAACAGACAAATGCAGCCCACCAGAGACTTGAATCTAGCTGGAGAGGGCAATAAAAAGCTCATTGAGTCTTTTTTTTCTTTTTATGCACCATTATTCTCAATACTAATGTCAGCTTCATTTTTACATTTATGAATCAACAGCAGGATAAATCCTGTCCAGGTAATAAGTTCATTATGTTGATGCATGCAGGATGTCGGTTCCACTCTGCTTGATAATCGACTCAGCAAACTCTTCTGTTGATTATAAATAAATCCAAATTGTGGGGAAGAAATAATCCAGTTTTACATAAAGAGACACCTCAGCCATAACATAAGGCTGGTGTTGTTGTTTTAAAGATTTTAGATGGACGCGAAGCAAATTTAACAAGAACTTTGATGCAAACAAAGATAATTTTAACACAAGCAGATGAAGAGAATGTGAGAATCACAAAGAAGACACAGAGTCAAAAGTAAAAATAGATGACAGTTGTCTAAAAATATATCTGAAAATGAATCAGGAAATAACTCTGAGTCTCATGGGAAATTCAGTCAGAAGCCACTGAGCTGTACTTCTTTAGAAAAACAGAAACTTTTTGATTAAAAAAATGAAGAAAAAAAATCACTGAATGTGGCCTTAAAATAAAATTATATTTGATTTATTCAGGTCAATATTTAAAACACAAAAATTCAAGTGCATGAAGCTATTTAAGGGGCCACAGCGGCATCTGGTGGACAGAAAAGGTAAACAAAAACTACAACTGTTTTAGGATGTTTCTTTCAGAGGTGGAAAGACTGCTAAAATTTCCTACTTAAGTATGAGTACCAATACTTTGATTAATTTTTACTCAAGTAAAAGTAAAAAGTATCGTAAATAAAATGTACTCAAAGTAAAAGTTGCTTAGTTACATTTTTGTCAGCGTAAGCATGGCTCCATCTATATGTGCAAAATCACAACGCAGGTTCACAATTCGCTCGTGTGCACGTGCGCACACATACACACACACACACACACACAAATTTGATGGAGCGATTTCTATCCAATCAGTGAGAACAGGACGTGCACATTGATTGGACGAGGTTTTTCTAGGATTGTACGTTTCAATTGTAATTAAAATTACTCTTTGAGAAAAAATATTTTTTAGATGCCATCAGCATGTGAGGTATCTCAGTGTTCTCATGACAAAACTCTAACATGAGACTGTGCTCTAACCTGTCACATAATATAACAAGCCTAATGCAGTCAAACATTTCAGATGGACTGTATGACAGCTGCTAACGTTGGCCCTGCCCTACTTTACCTCCACATTACAGTTCCTTTATCCATGTCCATCCGAGAGCTCCTCTCTGACCTTCATGCTTATTTACAGCAGCTGACTTTTAAAGTTAGCAGAGTTCATCCTTGGTGGTGGGTTCACTCACTCATTTAACCCTTCACCACTGAAATCAGTGTGTTCATTCCAGTCCTCCTAAATAATCCTCCAATCATCCAACTGGAATCCTTAAGGGTCCCGTAACGTCCATCCTGTCAGAACAGACCTTGGGAGCCCAGGTGTTACTAGAACTAACGGTGTCTCCTCACCAGCGAGAGCCTCCAAAGTGTGAAGGTTGGTCTCCAAACATGAACTTTAAATTCATACATTTATCTCCTCTTGTAACACTTTAACATGTTTTAAAAGGCTTGTATCATGATAAGTTACACCTCCCAGACCAAAGATAAAACATTATCGTAGACACCATTGAGACGTCATTTATGATATACAAGTTATTTTTGTTCACAATTACTTCAACCAAGAAATAAGATGCATGGATTAGATTAAACCACGCTTATGCAGTCCTATATGTGTAACACACACACACACACACACACACACACACACGCACACACACACACACACACGCACACACACACACACACACACACACACACACACACACACACACACACACACACACACACACACACACACACACACACACACACAACACACACACACACACACACACACACACACACACACACACACACACACACACACACACACACACACACACACACACACACACACACACACACACACACACACACGCACACACGCACACACGCACACACACACACACACACACACACACACACACACACACACACACACACGCACACACACACACACACTGCAGCATTGACTAATTTAACTACATTGAACTGCTTTTGTAATAATTTAATCTTTTATTCTGGAGTAAAATAAAGAAACAAGCTAAATCATCACATATCTGTGGCATCAAGGAGCAACTTCTGAGTTCAAACACAGCTGTGTTTGGTTTAGGGTAGGGTTGTCCCTAGGAATGGAGCACAATATTTACACCTGAACAGTATCGGGATTTTTAACTCACAGAGGCCTGCAGGTCTTCTGTTTTATGAGCAAAGCGCTGAGAATCCGCTTGTTATGAGGCCTAAACGTTATTTTGCCGCTTCCGTGCGGAGCGGTAGGGAAACACATTTCAAACACGGAGTCCGGCTACCGAACCGATGGTTCCAACCCACAGGAGAGGAGGGAGAGAGGAGGTAAACAGCGAGTGGATCACAGGGACTGAACTGATGTTTTTGAGCAAAACTGCGGTAAAAATGGCTGTTTGTCCTCATTATCAAGTGTACAAATCCCCCCCCCCCCCCCCCCCCCATTTAGACGCGGTGCTCATGCTGCAACATGCAATATTTTTTATTTATTAAGCTTACAATTTATTTTTACTCAGTAACGGATATGATTTGAAATGTAGCGAATTACAATTCTTTTTTTAAAACATACTCAAGTAAAAGTACAGATTTTAAAAACGACTTAAAAAGTATAAATATACAAAAAACTACTCAATTACTGTAACGTGAGTAAATGTAATTCGTTACTTTCCACCTCTGGTTTATTTATTATTATTATCATTGTTGGCATTATTATTATTATTATTACTATTATTATTATTATTATTTTACTTTCTATTCTCTATAAGCACGCACACACATATACATAAACACACACACACACACACACGTGGTCTAGAACTATTTGTGTGAGATGTTGTCGGGTGCTGTCCTTCCGATGAGCTTTTTGCAAATCCAGCACAAACATAGCAACACTACAGAAACCACAGATGTAGGCAGCAGTCAGCAGAGCCTCAGGTGTATGTGCTCTTGCAGAAGAACACGTGTTGTGATTGTGACTCAAATAGGATGTTCTGTCACCAGATCAAGTTTAGAAGCAACCCAGTGAGAACCTGAATCATGCAGAATGTGGTGACAAACCACCGTGCGCTGTTGGAGCTGAATGTCAGGGCTACATCCTCCAAACATGTGTACTTAAGTAAAAATAACTAAAATAAATGTGCAGACATCTAAAGAAATACTCTGAAAACTGAACGTGTACAGGGGTGGTTGTCTGCTTCTGGTTTATCCTAAAAGATTTTTGGTTTCAAACACAAGAGACCATATAAAAAATAAATTACACGCCCAGAACAGTTCATAATATCATAAAATAAAATACTAAGCAGCAACAGAAGTAGAATTCATGCAGTTTGACAATAATTTTATGCATAATGTTGTAACAATCAACTCAGTGTTTCCCAAACTCACCAGATTCTGACCTTACAGAGAATTTTGCCATGGCGGGACCGCACAAACACAGCTTTTGTTATTGTGCTCCTTTTATTTATAACAACAGTTTTTCTACAGGAATTGCAAAAGAAATATCCCCGTCAGCAAAGATCTTTAAACCCACCTTGAGTTCTGGGATCATCTCAGATCTCAGTGTTTCAGTTCCCACTGGTTGTCCCATCATTGGTGCTCTAAAGCACAGATAGTAACAAGTCTTTTCTCACTCCTTTTTATTTGCTTCTTCCATACTTTCTTTGTCAAGTACTCCCTTCTTCGTTCCTCCTGTTCCCTGAAAAATGAGGCGCAGATTCTTCTGCGGAGCCGCCTGGCATAAACCTCCAGGAACACCATGAAGTAGCTCATCAGCCAGAGACCTCCCAGCAGGAGCGTGATCCCCAGGTTGGGGGAAGAGGTCTTCGCATCACAGAGGGATGGCTCAGGGTAGAAGGTCCACCCATAATCTCTGTGGAACTTAGTCAGCTCCCGTGTGACGCATGCTTGTGGGATGATGCAGAACGCAGGAGGGAACCACTTCACCTTCAGGGAACAAATGAGAATATGAAAACCTCAAGGGAAGACAAGGAGGTAACAAGTAGATACCTGAGGAAAGTCTTACCTCATATTTAACGCTAATGGTAGCAGTTGTTGGAGGGAAGTCCTGCATCCACGGCATAATCATCTGGACTAAATGGTAGACAACGTAATCCAAAACAACCATCACAGCTATTGCTACGAAGTATAAAGTTACCACAACCAGCGACACAAAACAAGAGCCACATTCCTGGCTTGTGATTTTGCAGACATTGATTTTTTTACTATCATGAGAAGCTTTCTGCTGGAGGGCTTTGGAGACGAAGCTGTTATCAAACTGCACTAATGTGAGGTAGGATTTGAGGTAGCACGCAGACTCTGCAATCAGCAACGCTACAAACACAGCTGCAAGGATCCGGTTTGACAGCAGCTTGTACTCTTTCAGCAGCTTTCTAGCGTGGGAGAAGTCAGCCTCTATCTGACCAATCACATTAGCAAATGTGCGTTTGACTTGTGACACATCAACCTGTGTGACATGATCCAAAGTCCTCAGATTGGTGACAATGCTCAGGTCTTCTCTCCTCACTTTAATGGCTTCCTCTACAAGGTCCTTCTTAGCTTCATTGAAGGGCTCAGATGAGTTCAACAGAGTCCTTGTGAAACCCTCAGCAGTGCACTTCAGGATGCGTACCACCGCCCCCACGTTTACGCTGATGTTAGGGATGACGTTCAGCACCAGGATCATGATGGAGGCTGAGATGAGGAGTTTGCGTCCCTGCTTGGTGCACACTGTGGGAAGGATCATCGTCAGCACGCACCGCAGGGGGTGGAACAGGAAGGAGACCAGGAACATGGTCACACTGTAAAAGCAGGTGGTCTGAACAGATGCTATGTGGTCATATCTCAGAGTCTTTGACAGCCAGTGGTGCAGCAGGCTGCCACTAACGATGGCAAACACCAAACAGAGAGACAGCAGTGCCAGGATTTCTCTCCCGAAAGGAGTGGGTTTGGAGTAAACATCCCAGAGGTAGGTCAGGAGAGATGTTAGGAACTGTCTGAGAGAGTCTGCTCGCTTCCTGAGGGCAAGAAGGTCAACATGTTGCAGAATTAAGTTTGGGAAATATCCTTAATGCCACTTATTTTGATGCAGATAATTCAGAAGATACTACTACTACTACTTATAATAATAATAATAATAATAATAATAATAATAATAATAATAATAATAATAATAATAATAATAATGGTTTAAAAAAAGCTTTTCTAAAATTTCATTGAAGTTTTTTTTGTTTGGTTGCTCTGACTAGCTGTTAGCTCATCAATCCTGTGAGATGTAAAAGCCATTTCTCTATAAACACCAATAATCATAACTTTCCACAGACATCATTTAAATACCCTTGCTTTCAGGAAACAGCAGCTTGCTTTCGTTAGTCCAGAGTTTCACATATTTTATTGTTAAAATAAAATTGGTCTCACTTCTTAGATAAGAAACATGAAAAACTTTTTAGGAATTTCTACTGTTAATGAAGCTGGTAAAACTGACCAAGGCCTACTTTTGAAAGAACAAATCTGACAATAGAGGATAAAATAAAAAATGGTCTTTTTGATCTTTTGATAATTAAAGTTATATAAGTGTGTCAAGAGATGCCAGCTCTTACCTGAGAGTCAGAGCTACTTGTTCAATGACAGACTTCATTTTCAGTTGTCAAAAACTAAGGAAGTGCTGCAGGACTGGGGAAAAGGGGAACTGTGCTGAACAGTCAACATCATGTTGGTGTTTGTGGGGCATTTGAGTTATCACGCAGGAAATAGATAGGACTCTTTGTAAAACACACATGACCCACAGCCTCTCTGATCAGCACACAATGTGACACACACACGCTACCCACAATGCAATTTAGAAATGGGACGACAATGGGAGTCACATCATCCTGAAACATGATGAAACAAATGCTGATTAACCTCCTGATTTACTTCCTCATTTAGCTTTATTAGAGATGTTTCTTCCTGCACTGGTCCAATATTCTGGGATCTGACTTTTGCTAAAATATTCTGACTGACATGTAAAGCTTTGCTGAACTTCTTGTAGCCCTCACCCTTTGTGTAAAGAAATGATTTCCTTTCTCAGATTTTGTGTCATTTCTCTTCCATGTGGAGCCATGGCTGTCAGCATGAAAAGGGAAGGGCTTTACTCTGTTAAGTGATGCCCTTTTTATAGTCACCTGTCTGCTGGACACCTCTTACATGAATCATTAGACCCACCTGTGGTTGGACACATGTTAATTAGAATTTTGTGGTCCTGACTGGGGGTTTTTTCTCCTAGGATAATTGGGGTGTAATCATCTTTACAACATGGGTTTAAATGGATTTGTTAGGAAAATCACTTTTTTGTTTGTGCTAATTAACAAATCTTGTTTCCAATCAATGGCCCACATTTGTGGGAATATATTGTAGTATTGTGTCTCATAGAAAATGTAGATTCTGAAAGGAAAATATAGGTTTTCTGACAAATGTAGTGGGATGTACCAGTTTATGCTGAGCACTATATATATATATATATATATATATATATATATATATATATATATACATATATTAGGGCCGGGACTTTAACACTTTAATTACGATTAATTAATTAGAAAAAAATAACGCGTTAATAAAAATTAACGCATTTAATCGCAGCTTGCATTTCAAGCACGGCAGAACCTTTGTCATTGCACGATTTCCTCGTAGACTGAATATCACTGACGCACACAACAATGCACAGTGCTAATGGCTACTAAAACGGAACAGAAACAGAAAGAAGTTGCCTTGCTTGGACTGATGCAGGATTTAGGAAACATGTCCGCCTCTTTTCTTAACTTGGAAAAAAAACTTCCAGACAACAACGGAGTCCGTGTCGCGGACATTTCTCAGAGATCATCTCTGCAGCGGCTGCCGGGTGGCAACGGGAACTTTACAAAAGTTGCGGTAAGCTATATTTTTAACATTTACGTAACATCTGTGCAGCGCTGAAAGCACCAGACAGAATAATTCTTTGTCCTAACAGTAGTTTATGAAAATAGTCAGACAAACGAGAGGCACCTGGCTGCCGCTGGGAGAACGCTCCGTGTTCTCACTACTCTGTAAACAATCACAAACAACGTGTCTTAAAGTTGAAAACAGAAGTTTAAGTTAAAACAGAAACACTCTGAAACTTTTCTGATGATTTTCTAAACAATTCTGTCGAGGAATTCTGTGTTTCTGAGATGAGTCTCTGTCTAAACATCACATGCATTACAATCATTAAGCTGCGAGGTGTGTTGAAGCTGTCATCAGCTAAGGGACGGATGTTTAAGTGCATCAGGGGCAGCAAGGAACGAGAAAGTTGTGATCAGGCTGGAGATCACACCAGATTCGCTGCTGCAGGCGTGAATCTGCGGGTCTGCAGCATCCCCTTCTTAACGTGACATCAGGACTTCCCATGTAAGGAAGGTCCGCTCACCTGTTCGTCAGATCATTATTTCCTCGCCATGATCTTTTACCATCCCATCATCCTTCAGTCATCCAACTGGAACCAGTTAGTGTTCCTGATCATTCTCAGAATATGCCATGCCTGCTCTGGTGTTAAAAGTTAGTACATTTAAGTCCTAGATCATATTTGTGCCAGTTCTACTGTCATTTTGAAGGATTTATGTGTGTTTTTACTACATTATGAGTAGAAATGCTAATAAAAACTCCCAATTATACAAACAAGTGAAACTGGAAACATTAGAATCTGGTGCAAAGTCAAATTTATTTCAGTCATTCAACTAGACAGAGAGACTATTTAAAGGGTCAGGAACCCTTTGCAGGTGTTTTCTATTTGTAATTATACATTTTAGTTTATTTGGGTTTGTTTCATATCACACAGTGACATTTGAATAATTAACATGCATTTTTTTATTAAAAGCTTTAGTTTACAGTAATAACCATGTCTAATGTTTGATTCTCTGTCTCATAATTTTAATTAAAAGTTTTACTTTGAGAGCACATTTTCCTGAACGATTAAAATGTGATTAATTGAGATTAATTAATTACAAAGCCTGTAATTAATTAGATTAAAATTTTTAATCAAGTCCCAGCCCTAATATATATATACAGGTGCTGGCCAGTAAATTAGAATATCATCAAAAGGTTGAAAATATTTCAGTAATTCCATTCAAAACGTGAAACTTGTACATTATATTCATGCAATGCACACAGACCAATGTATTTCCAATGTTCATTACATTTAAATTTGATATTCATAAGTGACAACTAATGAAAACTCCAAATTTGGTATCTCAAAAAATTAGAATATTCTGAAAAGGCTGAATATAGAAGACACCTGCTGCCACTCTAATCAGCTGATTTACTCAAAACACCTGCAAAGGCCTTTAAAAGGTCCCTCAGTCTTGTTTTGAAGGCACCACAATCATGGGGAAGACTTCTGACTTAACAGCTGTCCAAAAGACAATCATTGACACCTTGCACAAGGAGGGCAAGACACAAAAGGTGATTGCTAAAGAAGCTGGCTGTTCGCAGAGCTCTGTGTCCAAGCACATTAACAGACAGGCGAAGGGACGGAAAAAATGTGGTAGAAAAAAGTGTACAAACTCTAGGGATAACCGCACCCTGCAGAGAATTGTGACGACAAACCCATTCAAAAATGTGGGGGAGATCCACAAAGAGTGGACTGCAGCTGGAGTCAGCGCTTCAAGAACCACCACGAGGAGACTCATGAAAGACATGGGATTCAGGTGTCGCATTCCGTGTGTCAAGCCACTCTTGAACAAGAAACAGCGCAAGAAGCGTCTCGCCTGGGCCAAGGACAAAAAGGACTGGACTGATGCTGAGTGGTCCAAAGTTATGTTTTCTGATGAAAGCAAGTTCTGCATTTCCTTTGGAAATCAAGGACCCAGAGTCTGGAGGAAGAGCGGAGAAGCACAGAATCCACGTTGCATGAGGTCCAGTGTAAAGTTTCCACCGTCAGTGATGGTGTGGGGTGCCATGTCATCTGCCGGTGTTGGCCCACTCTGTTTCCTGAGGTCCAGGGTCAATGCAGCCGTCTACCAGGAAGTTTTAGAGCACTTCATGCTTCCTGCTGCTGACCAACTTTATGGGGATGCAGACTTCACCTTTCAACAGGACTTGGCACCTGCACACAGTGCCAAAACCACCAGCGCCTGGTTCAAGGACCATGGTATCCCTGTCCTTGATTGGCCAGCAAACTCGCCTGACCTTAACCCCATAGAAAATCTATGGGGTATTGTGAAGCGGAGGATGCAATACGCTAGACCCAACAATGCAGAGGAGCTGAAGACGACTATCAGAGCAACCTGGGCTCTCATAACACCTGAGCAGTGCCACAGACTGATCGAGTCCATGCCACGCCGCATTACTGCAGTTATTGAGGCAAAAGGAGCCCCGACTAAGTATTGAGTGCTATACATGCACATTCTTTTCATGTTCATTCTTTTCAGTTGGCCAACATTAGAGAAACAAACATTTTTTCATTGGCCTTTAGAATATTCTAATTTTCTGAGATACCAGATTTGATGTTTTCATTGGTTGTCACCTATAAATATCAAAATTAAACGTAATAAACATCGGAAATACATTGGTCTGTGTGCATTGCATGAATATAATGTACAAGTTTCACGTTTTGAATGGAATTACTGAAATATTTTCAACCTTTTGATGATATTCTAATTTACTGGCCAGCACCTGTATGTATATATATATATATATATATATATATATATATATATATATATATATATATATATATATATATATATATATATATATATATATATATATATATATATTGTGATA